AACTAACGATTCAGGCAAGAGTTTACAAGGATTCAGTTACTGATCAGTGGTCAAGATGATGCTCATCAGATCAAAGAGATTTCGAAGTCCTTAAATGTCTGAACAAAAATAATGGCAACCACAACAGTGAAGGGGTTATCCAGATTTGGTGCCCCAGTAGGTAGGTTTAGTTCAGGAACTAAAGGTACTTCACTGAAAAAGATATCATGTGCAATTCAGTGGATCATCAGAAGACAGAGCTGGAACAGGAAGCCCTCTTGACATTTTCTATCCAGATGTTTCTATTTATTAATGTCAAGGCTGACTCGCAAAGCACATCTTTCTGCTTGCAACTTGACAAAGAAGCTAAGGGGGGGGGAGGATGAGGATGATTGAGATTGAGATGCGTGGGGAGCTGGGAGGGAGAAAATGAATTTATGTGAGCCATTTGTAGCCTGAAAAAATCTTGCAACTTCAAGGTCATACGCTGACGACTTTCAAAAGGCAAAGACTGTTTTCCCAAAACAAAATATTTAACCTGGATTGGTGGACAGTGGACAATGGGCGGCCCGGGGGCAGGAAAAGTGTTGTTGTTTTTGTTGCTTTTTACTATGCTGCATTTCGTGCCAAATCTTTAGAACTGGCATTGCTTCTTCTGTGCCTATATGGATCTGTCAGCAAAGTTTTACTCTTGGTAACAAAAAATGTCACAGGAGTTTCTTTTGCTGTACATGCCAACGGGATGGTTGACAATTAAAATCAGAGGAAAATTGACCACAGCAGATCCTGAAGGGAGCATTAAGGACTGCACTATTTAGAATGGGTGACATTTCTTCCATTCTGCTTTAACTCTGAAGTGTCAAGAAACTCTTAAACATTAAAGGAAATGGAAAACACTTTACTTACCTCTTGGAATTTAGAAATTCCCATCTGAGCCTCTATGGACTTTTCCTCTCCTAGACAGAGTGTATTGATTGATTGATTGATTTTTCCTCCCCTAAGTAAATGTTATTTCCTTCCTTCTTTCCTTCCTTCCTTCCTTCCTTCCTTCCTTCCTTCCTTCCTTCCTTCCGCACTATTATTAATTTTCTCATCGTTCCCATCACCCATCTCCTTCCACTTATGACTGTATAACTGTAACTTTGTTGCTTGTATCCTTACAATTTATATTGATATTATTTCCTGATTGCTTATTTGTATCCTATGACTATCATTAAGTGCTGTACCTTATGAATAAAAAATTCTATTCTATTCTATTCTATTCCATTCCATTCCATTCCATTCCATTCCATTCCATTCCATTCCATTTCCTTCCTTCCTTCCTTCCTTCCTTCCTTCCTTCCTTCCTTCCTTCATTTTTTACTTACTTACTTGTATCCTAGAGCCACAGTGATTAGAATGCAGCACTGCAGGTTACTTCTACTGACTGCTGGCGGCCTGCAATTTGGCAGTTCGAATCTCACCAGGCTCAAGGTTCTCAGCTTTCCATCCTTCTGAGGTTGGTAAAATGGGGACCCAGATTGTTGGGGACAATATGCTGCTTCAGTAAACCGCTTAGAGAGGGCTGTAAAGCATTGTGAAGTGGTATATACAGGAAGTCTAAATGCTATTGCTATTGTTATCCTGCCTTTATTATTTTTACAAATAACTCAAGGTGGCAAACTTATCCAACACACCTTTCTCCTTCTGTGTTCCCCACTACAACTCTGTGAGGTGAGTCGGGCTGTGAGATAGAAGGAATGCCCCAAAAATCACCCATCTGGCTTTCCTGACTAAAGCTGGACTTGAACTCACAGTCTCCCACTTTCTAGCACGGTGCCTTAACCACTAGACCAAACTAGCTCTAAATCTTATTTCCTGTTGCATTCATCCATCAAAGACCCTCATGGGAGGAAAACGTCAATATCTGCTCCCACCAGAGTTTGTCGTCCATGTCTTTTTCACCCTGATTGGGTTTCATTTCACTTTCAACCCAGGAACTTTTTTGATACTCTTTGCAAAAGCCACTAAATGCATGAAGGTGACTTTTGCAAAGGTTATTTGGAAATTATTGCAATTCAACCTAAGCCACCAAAAAGCAGAAAGAGAGAGAGAGAGATTTAATCATTCAATGAACTGGAGTAGTCATTCCCCAGATGATGCAAGCTCTCTCCTCTTAAACCACACTTCTGAAAGACAGCCTGATCACTAGAGGTTAAAGAAATAAATAAAACTATCGCCAATCAATCAATCTGCTCCTAACGCTGTTTTACCCACCCAGTTCTTTTCTCTCCACTGGCTGTAACAAATCAATTCATAGGAAAAGAATCTCAATCTCCTTTAAGACAAAGAAAAGACCTGCTGTTCACTGAATGAACAGGCTTTGAAGCAGTGAATCTACCACTTTCAAAAAAAGGAGCTCTGCCAGGATAAGAGCTGTGGTAGCACAGTAGTTAGAGTGCACTACTGCAGGTTATTTCTGCTGACTGCAATTTGGCAGTTCGAATCTCACCAGGCTCAAGGTTGACTCAGCCTTCCATCCTTCTGAAGTGGGTAAAATGAAGACCCAGATTATTGGGGGCAATATGTTGATTCTGTAAATCGCTTAGAGAGAGCTGTAAAGCTGTATATACCATGTTTCCCTAAAAATAAGCCCTCCTCCAAAAATAAACCCTGTCCTGAAAATAAGATTTCCCCCAAAAATAAGCCCTTGCTGAAAATATTTAAATGCACGTGCAGCCGGTCCCCGCCATTTCCTTTGGTTAGGGTTAGGGAGTCAGAGCTGGAAATCAGATAAGACAGCAAGAGGATCCTCGTCTTGCTCCATGAGCCCCAAAATAATAAGACCTCCCCCAAAAATAAGGCCAAGCACTTATTTTGGGGTTCAAAAAATATAAGACAGGGTCTTACTTTGGGGGAAACATGGTAAGTGTAAGTGCTATTGCTATATACATGTGCAATGCCTTGATAAAAGGGCCCTGGTGGCACAGTGGTTAGAATGCAATATTACAGGCTGACTCTGCCCACAGCCAGAAGTTCAGTTCTGACCAGCTCAAGGTTGACTCAACCTTACATCCTTCCGAGGTTGGTTAAATGTGGACCCAGATTGTTGGAGGCGATAGGCTGACTCTATAAACTGCTATGAAGCGGCATATAAGTTTTAAGTACTATTTCTATATTCTGCTTGCCTTTTACCAAAATTATATTTCTTCCTTCAGGCACAAAGTTCAGGATGACATTCTCCTTTGCCCCTTTGATTCTCAGAATACCCCTGTAATTTAGGTTGGGCTGAAAAATCATGACTGGACCTGGACCTCCTGGGGAGCTTCATAATTCATGAAGGGTTATCAAGATTGTACATGGAGTGAATTGACCCAGACAATGTACTGTTCACCAAGTATCTTGAAGGAAAATTTTTTTAAAAAAATAATTCATGGAGGATCTAACTCCAGAGAGGTGGACAATGCACATGTGGCTCCCAGCCATTTTTGTGACCACAATTTCCCTTCCAGTGCATCAAATTGCATCTGTTCAAATTTTGCATTAGTTTTTGCAAAGCTATTTTTCCCAGGGTTTGGTCATGCTCACTCCTTCTAAAAAAATTATGTGTCTTTCTCTAGTGTCATTGAGTCACTGGTAACATTCTGGGATGGGCTGTGAGAATGCAGATAAAAGGAGATAGCCAGAAGGAAGAACCACAGCCTAGGCAATAGTCAGAGAAGAGCTATCTCAGCTCACAAATGACAACAAATCTCAGCAAGGACTCTCCCTAGCTCTTTGGGATGTAAAGGTAAGGGAGAAGGGAAGAGCTTTCAGGCAATGCAAGATTCTCTTACTGTAATGTTATGATAAAGGTAACATTAGTACTTATGGTTTGGGTTTCATGATGTGGACTACCAAAATGAGACATCCCTTGATAATAAACCCAATTGGGCTTTTGAGTACATGGCAATAAGGCCAAGCGCTTATTTCAGGGTTCAAAAAAGTATAAGACAGGGTCTTATTTTCGGGAAAACATGGTAGAAAGGCCAAGACACTCCTTATGATTCCTGGGGGTCTATGACAATTCACCATGGTCAACTCACCATGGCCAACTCACCATAGCTGACTTGCCATGGCCAACTCATTGCAGGACAACTCACCATGGCCATCTTGCCACAGGACCAAGGGTGGGCTCCTGGGGGTTCAGCAGGGTTCGGGCGATCATCTAGCCAAGAATCACCAGGGTTCGGCAAACCCCCAAATGTCACCCCTGGCTGGCCACACCCACCCCACCCCTCCCAGGAGACTCCACGCGGCCCATTCATCATTCCAGATAAGTGCAGGGGTCACACAGAGGGTTTGGGAGGGAAAAAACGGGCCTACCGGAGGTTCCGGAAGTCTGGAAACTGGCCTGTTTCTGGCTTCCAGAGGGCCTCTGGACCCCGGGGAAGCTCTTTTCGCTCCCCCAGAGGCTTGAGGAAAGGCTCTGGTGCTTGGGGAGGGCGAAAAAAGAGCCTGGATAGCTCTGCAGACTAAAGCACTGTAATTTAACATCAGCTGTCTGCAATTAAAGTAAGTTCGAATCTTGCCAGGCTCAAGGTTGACTCAGCCTTCCATCCTTTCTAAGGTAGGTTAAATGAGGACCCAGTTTGTGGGGGCAATAAGCTGACTTTGTATAAAATTTACAAAAGTATGAAGGCTATTGCTTAACGCACTGTAAGCCGCCCTGAGAAGTCCTTCTCTGGAGAAGTCCTTCTCTGGAGAAGTCAGGAGTAGGGCGGTATAGAAATTTAAATAAATAAATAATATAAATCAAATTAAAAAAACAAAAAAACAAAAAAAACACCCCCCATACACCATGATGCAGGCAGCCGACTAGGCCACGCCCACCATGGCCACGCCCACCCAGAAACAGGGCAGCGAACTCGTTGCTAAAGGATCTGAAGCCCACCCACATACAGGACAACTCACTGTGGGACAAGAATTGTACTAATATCAAAGAAATGGTAGAATAGAATCATTACAGAAAAGATGCAAAAGAAGGGACAGAATGAAATATGAATGGCAAAAATTAAAATAATTTTTAATTGCTTAAAATTAGGTTCTGTTGAGAGAGATTTTTCCACGGACTGGAGGGCGCGTGGTTTCACATGCTGCCTGCATCCCGTAGATGGGACTTTGCTTGTTTGGTGGCTTGGTCCATGCCATGGACCCCAGTGCCAGACCACAGCCTACAGGTTGGGGACTCCTGTATTATAGCTTCTGGTTCCCATCTTGTTTGCTACAGTTGCATCACCCAGTTTAAATGAAATGTTATGCATATAAAATAGAAAACACTTTTATCCTATTGTGAAAAAGCAGAAATGGGTAAAAATGAGAAGGCTCCTTCATGCACACATTTAATCAATTCCTTTTTTTAAAAAAAAAATCCCCACCCAAAATAATGTATTTATTTATTTATTTATTGGTTCGATTTATATGCCGCCCTTTCTCCGGAGACTCAGGGCGGCTTACAATGCGTTAAGCAATAGCCTTCATATTTTTGTATATACCTGCTTAGTAGGGCTTTCGGGGGCCCCCAAGCGGTGTTCTTTTTTATACAAAGTCAGTTTATTGCCCCCACAATCCAGGTCCTCATTTTACCTACCTCGAAAGGATGGAAGGCTGAGTCAACCTTGAGCCTGGTGAGATTTGAACTTGCAGTAATTGCAGGCAGCTGATGCTACTTAACAGCACTTTAGTCTGCTGCGCCACCAAGGCTGTTAAGGAGTACATTCAATCACATAAGCTTTTAGGACAGACGGATCTGACCTCTAATTTCAAACCATTTTGATGTGTTTCTGTGGCTCTCTTATTTTGTTTAACTCACTCACATCTGCTCTTTGTATATTCGTACTTTGATCCTAAACGGTTCTTTTAAGTTGCATGTAAGCAATATTCCTCTGAAATTTCACTCCGAAGCTTCTGCTGATTTCTCTTGGCCACTGACTCCTTTTAATTACACAGCAGACGTTTCTCGAATTAAAAGTCATTGATCTTGCCAATGTCTATATCCATTCAACAGCAGGGAAATGAGATTGGGATGGGAGCATTTTCTGATTCCAGCAAGAATTATGGGAGAGTTTTTTGCAAATTTGAGTCTACTGCAGTCCTTGGCATAAATTCCTCTGGCTCATTAACCATGGTTACAACCTATTGTTTTGGAACTGGCAGGTAACGCTAACAGGGTTTTTTTAAAAAAAAACCCAGTATATGAAGGAACATAAAATCCTTCTCACTTCTTTTTTTTTCTTTTTAAATAATTTTATTAAACAGATTTTTTTAAAAAAAACAACAGATTAACATCTTCGCATCAGTAATCCATATTTATACATTTTCTCTTTCTTATCTTAATATATCTTTTATACATATATTTCTAGTACATCATATATATACCGTTATAATATATTCTCTTAATCTAAATATTTTATTTACATTTAACATAAACAGGTACCTAATTTCCTTTCCACAGTTTTTATATCTTCCCATTTGTTTCCCTATTCCTCCACCTAATTTAACCATTGTTTAGTTTTCTTTTGTGTCCCCCCCCCCTTTTTCCCCCTTTCTCCTCCAACCATTTATACCATTTCTCCCAGACTAAGTAATATTCTGTTTCATCTTTTTCTTGTAGCTCCTTTGTGATCTTATCCATTTCCGCACACTCCATAATTTTTCTAATCACCTTGTCTTCTGATGGTATGTCATTGTTTTTCCAGTTTTTCCTTCTTAAAAATCCTTCTCACTTCTTTTAAGTCCTTCCTAGTATCCCATGATGCCTTGTGCTTGAAGATTATTGGTGAGGCTTTATTACATCAATGGCCCTGTGTTGAAGGGAAAACATCAACCTTCTTATAAGTAAGCCCTAGCTCCTGAGAGCACAGAAGTCTGATCTCAGGGCTGCTAAGCTCAAAAGCTGGTCTTTTGAGAGGGTAGATGTGAAGGCTGGAGAAGAAGGTGGAGTGAGATGATAGAGAGCTCAATGACCAGGTGAAGCCTGAAGAGGAAGCACCAGCTAGAAGTTACAAGGCGTTACCTTGTACACCCTTACAAGGCCTGTATAAACAGACACTCCCCATCCTTCTGGAATGTTTATCCAGGACCCAGTTCATCTTTCAGGCCCAGAATAGAGCAGGTCCTTCATACTGGAAAGCCTAATTTAGAAGTAAAGAAAGAAATAGAGACTTCCCAAATAGGGCATTGCCTTTATGCCAAGGCTGGAACATCCATTGAATCTCTTGACGCAAAGGGAGAATAACAAATCTCAGGTTGCTCTGCTGCTAATCCCATTTTCTCCCTTGGTGTTTTGAGTTCTTGGTTTGGACCGCTGACACTCTCAAGAGTCTTTGAGTTCAACTCTTGACCCTGAATTCTGAAGAGTCTGGAGAGAATAAACTACATCAGGTTTTCTATATATATTTTAGGGTCCAGTGTTTGTTTGTTTTTATTATTCCCAAGTCAGCTCCCCAGCTCTCTGTCTAGAAGGGACTTTGCCACACTGGTGTCAGAAGTGAGCTGAAGAAGAGGCGTAGTTAGTGCAAGCAACTGACCGTTGAAAAGAATGCCAGAGAGGATCCCTCAGGGTGCTAAATTAAGACATTGTGTGCTAGGTGCCCAACCCAAGCTTACTCTACATTAGTTCAGCAACAGCACCTTGCCATGAGGGAGGAGATGGACAGAGAAGATGTAGCAGTTAACTCAAATCAGGATGAAGTCTCCTCAGATGAGCCAACCCAAGGTCCACTTTTAAAGGAGTCGCCACCTATAGACCAGGCTACAGGCAAAGTAGATCCCATCACAGCCATTCTGCAAGCCCTGATGTACCAGAAACAAGCTCTGATTGATGCAGAACAGCACTGGCAGGAGCAATCATGCCAAGATCGGCTGGGAAGGGAAAGTTCTGCCCGAGACGAAGGGGACCACCATGAGCAAAGATATCCAAAGGAGATGTCAGTTAGTTCAGAGCTCTGCAGATGGGATGCTTCTTCCTTAACCCTTCCTACTGTTCCTCTTCCACAGCACCGCAGAGAAATAAAGCTAGTGAAGATGGGGGAGGATGAGGATGTGAGCTCTTATTTAACAAAGTTTGAAAGAGTAGCTACTGCATGCCACTGGCCAAAAGAAGAATGGGTGTCACGGCTGGTTCCCTGTCTGACTGGGAAGGCCTTGAAAGCTTTGAAACATCTTTCACCCCGAGAGTCTACTAACTATAAACTGGTTCAGGCTGCAATCCAACAGCGGTTTGAACTCCATTCTGAGGCCTACTGGCAACTGTTTCGAACGTATAAATTCAAAGAAGAGGAAGGACCTCGAGAAGCCTTGAATCAGCTCAGAGAGTTTGCCAGGAGGTGGCTGTCTCCTGAAATGAGGGCCTCCCAAGAAGTGTTTGAGTGTGTAGTTTTAGAGCAATTTGTTACCATCCTTCCAGAAGCGGTAAAGCACTGGGTTCTAGAACATCAACCAGACAACTGTAATCAAGCTTTAGAACTGGCAGAGAACTATTTATTGGCTCACCACACTTCTGTTTCCAGATACCCTGAAACTAGGAAAAGATACAACGGCTCCCCAAAAGAGGAAGCCCCACTTGAGAAGATAGCCGGTTACTGGCTAAAAAGTAATCAGAAAGCCCAGCCAACCAGAATTACCAAATGCCATCCCGGTGGTAAGGAGGGGCCCTGGGCCATAAACTGTACAACCTGGTCGACCAAGGGCCTTCCTAAAAGTAGTACAGAGAACGATATCAGTGGTCAGATTGCTGAAGGTGACACTAAAAGCAGTAGTCCAAGAGTAGGAAAGCCACAGGAGTGTTCTCATTGTCATACAGGAGGACATCAGACTAATCAGTGTCCCCTAGCCACATATGAGGTTGTGGAGGAGATGCCTGGAATTACCATAACTAAACTACAGCTGACAACTGCAGTGGTCAATGGCCAACCACTAAAAGCACTCCTTGATACAGGATGTTCCCACAGTTTGATTAAAAGTGCACATGTATCCTCCCAGATGTATATCCCAAATCAACAACTTCTCGTTTTGGGGGCTGATGGTGAATCCAGACCTCATGCTGTGGCTAAGGTCCCAGTAGAAGTTGGGGGGCGAGCTTTTTCTCTCCAAGTGGGAGTGAATCCTACATTACCTTATGACATGATCCTGGGGCAAGACCTCCCAAACCTGAGGGAACTCTTGGAGGCAAACCCTGTTATCATCACTCAGGCTCAATCCCAAATGCAACAGTTGTGGGAAAGGCTACCTGATCCCCAGGGAACCCTGAGTGAGGCCCCAGGGAAAACTAAGAAACCTAAAGCCCAAAAGAAGAAGAAGAGGAAGAAGAAGAAGAAAGAGGAGAGTTTGTACATGGAGATCCAAGTCAACAATCCTAACGAAAGAACAGAATCTGAGTGGGAACTCCCTGAAAATGTAGGACAACTCCAGGCATCCGATCCTTCCCTACGGAAGGTACTTTCACAACTGGGGAACCTATTGCCAGGTGGTAAAAAGGTCACCCAAAAGAATGACATCCTGTATGTCACTGACAAATGTGGTTCTAGATTAGTTGTGCCCATGGCATGCAGATCTCTAATCATGAGAATCAGCCACACTATACCCGGGACAGGACACCAGGAGCATCAGCCTACTTATGCCAGAATTGCACGTGTCTTTTGGTGGCCAGGAATGTATGCTGATACTCGCCAGTTTTGTGCATGTTGTAAAGAATGCCAAAAATCAGATCTCCTCAAGGATCCAAAGAAGAGTCCATTATTCCCTCTTCCCATGGTGGGTATTCCCTTCCGTACGATAGCTATGGACATAATAGGTCTGTTAACAAAAAGTCAACGAGGCTATAGATTTATCCTTGTAGTGTGTGACTATGCCACAAGTTATCCTGAAGCGTTTGCCCTCAGAACAAATACCAGCCAGGAGATTGCCTCAACCTTAGTAGACTTGTTCTCTAGAATCGGAATCCCTGGTGAGATAGTTACAGATTATGAGAAAAACATTACAAGCCAAACTATGAATCTCCTTTACAAAAAATTGGGAATGAAGAGAATCAAAATTTCCCCTTATCACCCTCAGTTTGATAGTCTAGTGGAACGATTCAACCAAACCCTTAAACAAATGCTGAGAAAATACATTTCAGAGACAGGTTCTGACTGGGACAGGTGGCTCCAGATCTTATTGTTTGCTTATCGGGAGCAATCTCAGACTTCTATGGAGTTCTCTCCTTATGAGTTGCTATGTGGTCCAACAGTCAGAAGACCCCTTCAAATGGTTAGGGAAATTTGGGAGGGAAAGGCCAAGTCTCTTTCAAGAAACATTAGCTATATCCTGCAAATGGGGGACAAGCTAAACCAGATAAGGGAGCTGGCTTTAGACAACATTAGGCACGCTCAAGTGCATAAAAAATTATACTATGACCGGCGTACTAACTTGCGAGAATTTCATCCAGGACAGAGAGTGTTACTGTTGCTCCCTTCCACTGCAAACAAATCGCTAGCTCAGTGGCAAGGGCCTTTTTCAGTGCTTCGACGCATAGGACCAGTCAGTTATGAAATCCTGATGCCTGGACACCGCCCCTCAAAGCAAACCTGGCATACCAATCTACTTAAAAAATGGGTGGAGCCTGCAAGTCAACCTGGTTTCAGTTTGATGACTCATCAGATTCATGAGCGGGTCGAAGAGGATGATGGAGTGCTCTTTATTCCTTCAGGAGCAGGTGATCAGTTGACACCGCTGAAAAAAATGTATTCTTCTCCAACACAAGCTAAAAGCAAGCCAGATGTTGGACAAGAGACTTCCCCCAAGTCACCTCGTTTACTCCAAGCAGGAGATGAAGTGATCCAAGCAACCAAAAAACAAGTATGGACGATGCCTGCCTACCCATGGAAGATCTGAAGCCCAGGAAAGCCCATCCAAAAAGGCTACCTGAAGCCCAAGTAGGGTGAAATATGGTGAAGGGAAAACACCAGCATCCTCATCACTAAGCCACAGCTGCTGACTGGCAGTGCCTGTGGATACAGGGCTGGCTAAGCTTAAAGGTTTCTCTTTTGAAAGAGCAGATGTGGGGGTTGGAGAAGAATGTGGAGGAGGGAGATGACGGAGAGGAGAAAATAATGGCCAAGTGAAGCCTGTGAAGGAAACACTAGCTGAAATTACTCTTAATATGCCGTGTATAAAAACATTCCTCACCCTTCCTTGATGTTTTGCTGGAACCCAGGTTGTCTTTCGGGCCCATAAACAGATCCCTCATATTGGAGAGCCATATTAGAAAAAAAAGAAAAAGCCAGAGATTTCCCAAGAAGGGAATTGCATTTATGCTGAGGCTGGAATACCCATGGAGTCTCCTTGTACAGAGGGGATAACACAACCCTCAAACTGCTGCCGCCTGCCCTATTTTCTCCCTTGGTTTAGCATTGTTCTGTATTTTGAGAAATTACTTTTGAGTTCTTTGTTTGGACTGCTGACCCTCCAAAGCATCTTTGTGTTCAACCTCTGAAGGCTTAAGGGTCTGGAGGGAATAAACTACAGCAGTTTTTTTTCATATATTTCAGATTCAGTGTTTCTTTTCTATTGCTCCCAAGTCAGCTCCCCATCTCTTGGTCCACAAGGGACTTTGCCATAGGCCCCTTCTGTATCATTTAGACATGCATCAGTTGGCATAGTGTAGGATGTACAGCCGATAAGTGTTTGGGTAGCGTATTCTCTATTGCTTCACCTTGGAAGCGAGTACGGTAATCAATTTTTTTGCATTTTCAACCACCCTGTGCCTCTGTCTCATTTTCTTAAAGAACTGACTAGATAAGATTTGGAAACTACACCATTGTTTGGACAACATGGACAAGTAGAGAGGAGTAATTTGACTTAAAAGGTAAAGGTAAAGGTTCCCCTCGCACATATGTGCTAGTCGTTCCCAACTCTAAGAGGCGGTGCTCATCTCTGTTTCAAAGCCAAAGAGCCAGCATTGTTCGAAGACATCTCTGCGCTCATATGGCCAGCATGACTAAATGCCAAAGGCGCACGGAACGCTGTTACCTTCCCACCAAAGGTGGTCCCTATTTTTCTACTTGCATTTTTTACGTGCTTTCGAATTCCTAGTTTGGCAGAAGCTGGGACAAGTAGCGGGAGCTCGCCCCATTACGCAGGACTAGGGATTCGAACTGCTGAACTGCCGACCTTTCAATCGACAAGCTCAGCATCTTAGCCACTGAGCCATCGTGTCCCGATAATTTGTCCTTCAATAGCCGTGGTATCATTTTGGATTAGTGGATTCACAAAACAGACTGGGCCAGTTAAGTAATCCAATGAATTGTGCTCTATGAATTCATCAATAAGTACTTGATATACACAAGAAATGATTTCCTCAGATTTCCTTAATCTTGGGATAAAGATAAGAATGAACTTCTTGAATCCAAAGAACCAAATTCTGGCCCTGATTCCTACTGAAAGCCTTACTTTCAGATGGGAGGGCTTCATTTCCCAGAATTCCTAGCTATCAGAGCCATTGCTGAGATTTCTGGATAGTAAAGACACATGAAAAGCATTGAAAGACCATTATTAGCTATTTCATTGTAACCTTCCAATAGCCCCTTGTCCTGATTGGGCTACTTCATGGTGAGTGGGCTTAGGTGAAACTTCAGCTTTTTTGTGTGTATAAATGCCTGTGCCAAAAAAATTAATAGATGTTAGAACTATGTTTGTGACAGTAATATCATGAAATTTCACCATTACTGAATACACTTCTATGCCCTTAGAATCTGACTCTTGGTTCCTAACAGATTTCTTCTTCTCCTACACTTCAAAGTGATGCAAAGTTGTGCTATAAAAACATCATCATTAGCACTTTCTGTCATCTCCAACCATGATGTCAAAAACATGAATCCAGAAAAGCCAGGATTAAGTGACAGGACTTTGAAAACGGAATCCTCTTTCATGGGATCATAGAGTTGGAAGGGACCTATGTATATACTCACAGATATTGTCATGCCCCTGTCGGAGTCTGACTCTGAGATAGAAGAGGACAGAGAGCGAGAGAGTGGCTCCGTTGGCTGTGGAGGAAACTGGGGAAGGGCAAAGTCAGGCTGGGCAGAGCAGGGGAGAGGTAGAACAAGGGAGAGGGGGTTCCGATGAAGACCAAGGCCCACCCCCTCCTCATCCTAGGCCATGCAGGGAAGAATGGAGAAGAGAGCAACGTAGGTTGCATGGCTTACAAGGGAGGAAAGGGCCTCGATCCCCTTCACAAGATACACCTGGAGCTGGAGTTTAAAGGGGAGGCAAATGGGAAGGGCAGTTGTCAGGAACAAACACTGAATTCGTGTTAGCTGCTTTATCTGAGTTCCTGGCATCCTCCCAACTGGTTTGATTTACTGCCGTGCTACTTCAAGTCTGGACTTCTTATCTTGCATGCCCTGCCAGATTAATTACCTTATCTTGCCCCGTGGGATTTATAGTTGGAAGTTTTGTCTGCTTACAGGTTTGTGGAAGAGTTTTTCTCCAGACCGGAGAGTAAAGGGACGTTGGGGACAAAGTTTGGAGCTAATAAAGGGACCTGTACTTATTCTCTGGCTGTGTTGCCTTTGTGCCACGCCCCGGGTCATCACAGATATGCTCATCCATAGATAGATGCTTCTGAATGTGTTTCCCCCTCCCTTCTTCGTCTTAAAAACTAAAGAAAGTCATGTCTGTGATGCTTTCTGAAATTACATTTCTGCCCTGGACTCAGATTTCATTTATCTGATCATTTGCCCTGATTGCAGCTCTTCCTCCTTTCCTCAAAGCCGTCCCTATTGTCCATTACAGATACAGGGGTATCTTGGCACTCAACTGGTTTCAAACTCATCAAATTTGGTACTCAACACATTTATAACAGAATAACAGAGTTGGAAGAGACCTTGGAGGTTTTCTAGCTTAGTCCAGTTCTAAGATAAGAGAGGAAACATACAAATTACAAGTGTTTGCAGATGATTTGGTATTTATTATAGAAGAACCACTAGAGACAATTCCAAAACTATTACAAGAGATAGAGGAGTTTGAGAGGTAGCAGGACTGAAAATAAACAGAGAAAAAAACTAGTTACAGTTAAAAACCTTACACACACACATAAAAAAAAAAGAAAATCTGGCAGAAAAAGTGGACTTTCAAACAGTTAAGAAAGTTAAATGTTTGGGAATATACTTAACAGCAAGATGTGCAACGATAAAAGAAGACAATTATATAAAATTACTGAAGCAAATAAAATTAGATTTGGAAAAATAGAAACACCTACATTTATCAATGTTAGGAAGGATTGCCACGATAAAAATGAATATCCTACCAAAACTGCTTTTCCTGCTCCAAACAGTACCTATAAAAATTGAAAAGAAATTCTTTGATGACTTGAACAAATTGACTCTGAAATTTATTTGGCAAGGCAAAAAACCGAGACTAAAATTGAAAATGCTACAATCTCTTTGCATTTTGATGTGAAAAAATATGTCCTGGGACTCATCATTTGTTTAGTACTTAACACACAAGCTAGAACATGTCGGTGTCGGCTTCCTTGTGACTCACTACATTATTCCTTATGGGAAAAAACTGGTACTCATCATTTTTGGTATCCATCACACCTCCTGGAATCAATTAATGAGTACCAAGATACCAAGGGGGCACCAAACAGGCATAAAGTTATTTCTTAAATACTGTGGTTATTAATATTTTGTTTTGGGTTGTTGAGTGCTGGACGTTGGTCATGTTTCAGTCCTAGTTGAAACAATATGAGAAGAAGAGAAGGCTTTTTAAAACCAATAGATGGCATTTTGTGAGACTGGAGGTTCGTTCTCTGAGCTTGTGGGTTGTTTTCTGAATGTTTCGTTACTAAGCTAGTTAACAACTTCAGCAGAATTTAGAGAATTTCAGTATTGGTGTTTTTCTGCTTATAAGGGCTCCATGTGAATCAGTAGCTCTAGTGATGGGACAGTCACATCAAGTGAGGGTCAGAGGTGGGTTTCAGCAGGTTCTGACCAGTTCTGGAGAACCTGTAGTGGAAATTTTGAGTAGTTCGGAGAACCGGTAGTAAAAATTCTGACTGGCCCCGCCCCCATCTATTCTCTGCCTCCCAAGTCTCAGCTGATCGGGAGGAAATGGGGATTTTGCAGTAACCTTCCCCTGGATTGGGGAGGTAATGGAGATTTTGCAGTAGCCTTCCTCTGCCACGCCCACCAAGCCACACCATGCCCACCAAGCCACGGCGACAGAACTGGTAGTAAAAAAATTTGAAACCCACCACTGGTGAGAGTGTAGTGATAGGTCTTGTGATGGCATTTTCTCTAAATATATCTCAAATGATGGAAGCGCCATTGTTATTCTAGTAAAAAAAAAACCACTCTCATTGCGTAAACTGAAGCCATAGGAGGTAGCAGCTTAAGAAAACTTTACTGACGGTTCTTGATGGATGCCAAATTCAGATCACTTTGTTGAATTGTCTGTTATGCAAACATTTCAATCAGTAGACAGAAGCAAAGCACTTTATATTTTCTGAATATGGCTCCTTGTGGCTTCTGTCTTATTCTGTTTCACTGAGCTGTTGCAGATGATGCCCCGAGGTTAAGAAAATCCATTTGACTAGATTTTATCCAGCATATCATTTAATTGTTTTGTTTTGTCTCCTTCAGAGGCATCCTCTGATTATGAAATTGGATGTTTTACACTACTGGAAACCTAAACAACATATGTTGTACATTTGATGGCAAGGAAGATACATGGAACACACTGGATAATATTTTCAATTATTTCTCCCACTCTCATTTTGGTTGTCTTTACACCCTATGAGGCAAACACTATGAGGTTTTGAACTTGGTGTGTTCAGGTTGTCCTTCAGTTATGACCGTAATGGTCCATGCCCAACAGGGTCATAACTCATGACAGTCATAAAACAAGATGGGTCATGTGACCAATTCAAAATTTATCGCCTTTTTTGAAGTGTTCATTAAGCAAATCACCAGGGTTATTAAGGAAACCCACAATCATTAAATGAACCAATGGTTTGCTATCAGTGTGGTTTGCCAAAAACCAGAAGTCAATGCTAGTTTTTTTGCAAAACTGTTGTAAAACAAAGGTGGGTTGGATATGTTCATCACTTTGAGTGATTTGTAAAAATAATAATGATGGGATACAAATAAATCAATAGATAAAGCAGTTACCTGACCATGGGACCAGTGGTGGGCTGCTGCATGGTCGCGCGGGTTCGGGCGAACCCTTAGCTGTGATCACTGATTGTGCTATGCTTTTCATATATAACTAACTTTCTGGCTCATTCCCCCCGCCCATGCTACCCAGCTGAGTTCCACGGCATCCCTGCTGTACTCACTGGAGCTGCCTGAGTTGATTAGCGGCATGTTTGAAGCTCCATTTCAGTCCCAAAAGGGGCACATGTTAGCGAAGTGAGCATACATGCATACACGCACTTACAACCAGCGAACCGGTTGTGAACATAAGTGCAGCCCACCTTTGCATGGGACACTGTGAATATCCATAAATGCATTTATGTATCATCACCTTGATAAGTTGGT